GAAACCACCTCAAGTTGCACCAGGGGTGGTTTAGATTGGATACGAAGAAAAATTTCTTCACCGAGAGGATTGTCAAGCATTGGAACAGGCTGCCCAGGGAAGTGGTGGAGTCACACCTGGAGGTATTTAAAAGACGGGTAGACGGGGTGCTGATGGTTTAGTGGTGGACTTGGCAGTGTTATGTTTGTGGTTGGACTTGACGATCTTAAAGGTCTTTTCCAACCAACATCAAAATGGGACGCAGAGCTTTATCTTCTCAAGGTCACACGTGATCACCTGGTGTTACTTTAAATGGTCTTCAGTAAGAAAATATTAGATTTGAAAACAGATACCTAATAAGAAGAAAATTAATTGTCTTTTAATCTGCAGATTAAAGTTTTTTGGTTTTGACAGCTTGTGACAATTTAGTCATGCTGTTTAACCCTTGTGTGGTCATCCTAAATCATTACCTATTAGAATGCTCTAATGGACTCCATGATGTAATTACCCTCTCAGGAGGTGCTGACTGTGTAAAGCACATCCCTATGGTGACTTGTGAAAACAAATTCAGTATTTTTGCTCTGTATGTTAGGATTAGAAGCTCAGGTGTCAGCATTAATAGCATGTGAGAAATTACATGGAACGATTTAAGTGAAAAACAGTTTAACTGCCTTCAAAAAAGTATTGGGATGCTCTGTTTAGAATAACTTTATGGCGCTATATCTACATTCAGAATGTTCTATTGGTATTTTTATAGTTGCATGCTTTTGATCTAGAAAAGATGAAAAAATAGGACATTTTTATGTATATTTAATAACAAAACAACCTTCCTTCCTCAGAAAAAAATTCAGCCAGGTGAACTATGATCTAATTTTCCTCTATAATCAAAACAAAATCACAGCTCCTGAAGCATTATTCTTGGCTCCCAGCAGTTTCAAGGCATGCAAACATTACCATTTCGACTCTGTCCTGCCGTTTCACTGGAAGGATTATGTCACAACATAGTATGTTTGTTTTCCCGCTTTTTGTCTGTTTGTCCATCAAGACTTTTTTGTCGAAGAAGTATCGGTGATTGTTGACTTTGGAGGTGGTGGAAGAAAAAATAATTATGAAAAAAAAAAAAAAGCAGACAGTGCCATTGAAGTAACTGTGCTTCTGTCACAGGAGAATGAATACTCCTTTCAACAAATCTATAATTTGCAGAAGTTGCAAAAAGAAAATAGCCGTAAGGTGACCGTTAACAAACTTCAGTTCATCCTGCCAAGAAAGTTAACTTCATAAAATCATTAAACCAGTGATTACATTTTAAAATATTATTCCCCAGCCATTTCTTCTTAGACTTTAAAATATAGTTACTGTACATACTACCTTCTTTGTAATGTGAAAAATTGTAAAATAAACTTATTTTTCATAAACTCCTAATTATTAACAGAGCTATTTGCGCACCTATAGTTAAAGTCATTTCAACACTTCCGTTATTTAAACTTCACTTTTAGGGGTTCATAATTTGGCTGTAATAAAAAATTTATTCAGACTCTGAGGTCTCAAATATTTTTTGCTGGTATTAGGATATTCAGTCTGTTTTTTCTTTAAAAAGCTAAGTTGTTTGGATTGTTTGCTGTTCTTCAAGATGATCCCAAAGTGTTTTGTAATGTGGACTAAATAATTTTAATGATTTAAAAAAATCAGGAAAAGACAGTGAGTATGTTGGAACCGCTCCTCCCCCAACTTCTGTGACTAGCACTGGATATCAGAGGCTCGGAGAAGGGAGATGGTGGCAAATTCTTGCCGTATCTCCAATGTTGCCATATAGTAGCCTCATATATGATAAGCTATTGCGGTATTTATATCACGCCTATGATCTGGAGTCGCAGGCAGCAGACCTGCTGCTCACAAAGTGAAAACTCCCTGTGCTTCCACTGCAGCGAAAGGTGAAAGACCTCCCGACTTCAAGGTTGCGTAGCTGAAAATTGCTTTTCTAGAATGACAAATGCTCGGGTGCTCGGAGATGGATCGTTTCTTGGGTATGGCTTCCTGAAGTCCCCCTTCATCACGTAATGCGGCCGCAGTAATGACTCAACAAGGCCTTGAGCTCCGGAAATTAAGGAGTCGGGGCTTATTGCATATTAATGGCAACTCTGGGACAGTCAAATAAGACAGTTTGTTATAATACTAATTATAGCGAGGCACTCGTGTTGTGGTTTGAATGAGTCAATTATATGTGTGTTAAAACTATAAATACATCTTCCCCCCCAAACCTCAGCTGTGCGGTACGTAATTTTTTTTTAATTGCTTGGATACATATTTACCTGAGCATATCCTGGTTTCCCAGGTAAATATGTGTACCAATGCAGAACTCATTATGGTCTGTTTGGATAAATAATCCATATTTTATAACCGTACAGGAAGTAATTATTTTCGTATTTTGCTTTCTTTAAGCCAAAGAAATTAAATGCTGTGTGTTCATTCCTTAAAATAAAATAGATGCAAAAGTCGAGGCAATATGAGAATAAAGTTTTCATTGTTTTGGTAGAAACTGAGAATATTATTCCAGATTTTGATCTTGCGTTTAGCCTAGAATAACTCCATTAAACTAAACAGTATTATTCAGGCTTTACTTAGATGCAAATGGGACGCGAATTTGGCCTCTCCTTACTCTCCCTTACTTCATCAGGAGGTTCCTGTAAGCAGCTTGCGCACAATCTTTGCTTTAGATGATGTTGTCATGTGTTCATCATTTGGAAAAATAAGGTATTTCAGCTACATGCAGAAATTAACATGTCTGAATGTTACGGTGAAAAAAAATTCATGTCTTATAGAATCACAGAATGGTTTGGGTTGGAAGGGACTTCCAAGATTGTCATTAAGGTTCTGTGTGTGTTAGGGAACTAGAGCATACTTTCGCGTTGGATATTTCTGCCATTGTTTTATATGATATTTGGAAAAGCTGTGTTGTGTTATCGCCATGCTAAGGTCAGGCTTTGTAACACTTTTAAGCTTAGTGGGGCCAAAGACAGCCTTGGCATAAATCCATTAACTGCAATAGATTTACACCAGAGATGAATATTGGCTCGTTCTTGGTTAAATTTATTTTTATCCAGCTCTTTATATTTTATGTTAGAAATATAAGTAGCTTGTGTGCCCTCAAACTAATCAGAATAAGAAACAGTTTCGCTTACGCCAAAAAATAGAACTATCGTTTTTCACATTCTTACATTTTTCAAGTAAGATTATATTACTGTGACTTCTGAATTCCTGAAATCTCTCTGGTCTTTGTGATTGCAAGGGCCAAGAGAGGGTTTCGAGGGGAAAATCTGAAACTCTTCGCGCAGTATGTTTTGTGTTGTGCATACGAGATACAGTTAACGTTTTGTATGCATGTGATTAGTGTGGAAAAAAATTAATGCAGTCCAGTATTATGATTTATGGACTGAATCTTTTGCCCACTGAACACTTGCCAAAAGGAAAATCTCCCTCCCCACCCCCGTCCCCCCCCGCCCGTCCTTTGGATATTAGAAACAGCTACTGTTTTTGTTGATCTTTTTAACTTCTGAATAGGCCTATTTCAAGTCATAGCAGCATGGGAGCTCAGATTAATAATATACTTATTCAGCCAGTGATACTGAGTGAAACCATTGCTGGTGTGAGTATGAAGGATAGGATTTCTTTAAATTATTTTCAGGTGCATTAATGCATTTCTGAAAGAAGAATATAGATATATTTGAAAATAAATTAAAATTCTGTTTATCGATTGTGTTACAGGTGTGTATGAGTTTTAATATCAAGACTTTTTCAGGCGTCTCTCCTTTTGATAACGTTTGTACTGTGCTTACTGTCAGTCCGTCTGTCACATTGTTAACAAGGATGAGGGCAAAGAAATTATGATTAAATCTTGCCTTTTGGACAATGTTTTTGAATTTAGAGGATAAGGTGTATTCCATGCTGTGAAGCATCCTTTCTATCCCACCTACTCTACCGCATCATCTTAAGCCAGAACCAAATAGCCTTTGGTGAGGTGAAAGGAGCAAATCCTGTAGACTTCTCTTCTGCCTTTGGGTTGAACCTCCTTAGCCCTGTAGTTTGATAATCTTGTCCTGGTTTCGATATAATCTATTTGTGCATAAAGTAGCTCAATTTCCTGGACATATTGAAGGTGAATCCAAGGCTGACATGCTTAATCCCTTACCAACAGATTTTTGTTCTTTGCAGCCCAGTTTGAGGTGTTTGGGGTCTTTAGAGGTATTGTTGCGACGGAGGTGGGGACAGTTCTTTGCTTCACGCTCCTTTGGCCACCCCTTATCGATTTTTGTGGTGTTCGTTGTGCAATCCTATCTTTATCTCTTCCATATCTGAATGGCCTGTTTTTTTCGAATTGCTTTATTAATAGGGTCAAAACTTAGTCAGGTTTTTCCAGTTATGTTATTAATAGAGTCAGTGTTTCCTATCAATCAATTTTGTTTCTCTCAAGTGAAAAAAGAATATGCCTAAAAAGGTTCTTCATGTGGGTCCGGTTTCTACTAATGATAAGTCAAGTAAGGGTAGAGTTTCTTTCAAAAAATACTTAGGTAAGCTGTTTAAAATTAATATTTGTTATTCTAAAAATTGTGAGAGGGATCAGCCACCCTTCCACAGTTGCAGATAAAGTGCTATGGCAAGAATTTGGCATTTTTACATTGCCTGAGAGAATTATATGTTCATTTTCTGGGCTAATGTGGTGCAAGGAAAGAAAAAAAGGGATGTAGCACTTTTTAAAAGCAATCATTTTAAATATAAACAAAAAAGCTTTTGCTTGAGATTTCTCAAAAGTCTTTCAGTCTTTTCCTAAAATTGTTATTCACTTCTTGGCTAGCAAGAACCGAGTGAGTGACACCTTTGAGAGTCCCTGCTTGTGTTTGAGCGCATAGCTTGTATTTTGCTGCGCACAACCATGCAAAATATTATATGAACTTATTTAAAACAAACCCTAGTGAATAAATGTTTTAACACAGAAACAGCCATCCTAATTTATTAATTTATTTTAGTTGCAGCAAGCAGCTGAAGTTTCTCAGCTGCGAGGAGCTCGAGTCATCTCTGCCGAAGATCTCCTGTTCTTAATGCGCAAAGATAAGGTACAGTAATGAAACAGAATTTTCTTACTTTACGTAATAAGCTGCTTATCGTGTTTTAAAGTGTTTGCTTAACCTATGTGAAAGGAGCCCATCATCATGAATAGCTTTATTTAAAAGTATAGCTGCTCTGCATTTGTATTGTGCACCGTACAATAATTGCATAACATTTTAACTAATTCTCATTTTTTCTGGTCACTTCAATTATAAATAGATTTTTTCACTAGCTTTAGGGTAGGTACTGTACCTCAGAGCTCAAAGCAATTCCTTAATAAAACTATAAATATTGATCCTTATCCTTTTATTAAAAATCAGTCATTCTAATTGTATCCTAGTTATGCAGGGTGTAGATGTGACATTTGATAATGTGACCATTACATTTTTGTCATCTAGGCTGTCAGTAAATCCTGTCATGATTTTTCCTTTATAATATTTTTCTGCATTTTATCTCACTAAATTCTCCAAATTTAGGGATGGTCTTGCTTTCTCTGGATAATAATTAGAGCAGGTCATTAATTTAAAAAAAAAAACAACAAACGATTTTCCATATGAAGATTAAATTTATTTTCTTTCTTCAAATTTCAGAATTATGAAGATACTACCAACTATTTTTATGAATAGTATTTACTCTTCCTTTCTCTTCTTTTCTTCCTTAGTTCCCCCTTTTCCCACCCCTTTTTCTCTCCCCTCTGTTTTCTTTCCTCAGTTGATAGGTGAAACCTAATGACCAAAACCATATCAAAATTAAAAAACACTAAAACGTGAAAACCAATTGCAGTTTCTTTATCTGATATGGTCCATAAGGCTATACTGAACACAGTGATCAACATGGATGTCAAAGTTCATGAAAACCTGCATTTGTAGGTTTGAATTTCCAAACTAAGCAAAGATTTTGGAGTTCCTTAAAGCCTGATTTCCGAATTTCTGCTTTCTGAAAGTTAAACCCATTTCTGTCTCACAGTTGGCAAGCAAAGTACCAAGGAGCTCAAATAAATAATATTTAATGTGGAATTGCTACTGACCTCGATGTACTTTCTATGTATGGATTTTCTGCAGAATCAAAAATTATGAACATTTTAAAAATTATATTTACAGAGTAAAGTATTACACATTTCTATGGGTTTGTGTTATAAAGTCTAAATAAAAAATGACTATATAATACTTATTAATATAAATGTGGTTTTTTTCTCTTAGAAGAAGCTTAGAAGGCTACTTAAATACATGTTTTTTCGAGACTACAAGTCTAAAATTGTCAAAGGAATAGAAGAAGATGACCTCCTTGAAGGTAGAAAAAATGAATTTCTTAATTTGGGGGAGGCTTGATATTTTATAAATGCGCTGAACAGCTCAAAGCAAAATATTACTGGTTTACTTAATAGTTAAAGACACAAAAATTATTGTCTTCAGAGTAATTTGGTTTAAATCTCTTCTTTTCCATTTGAAATACTTCAAAAGTAATTATTTGCATCTACCATCCAGATTATAAGTAAGACTGCTTAATGTCAGAGCTCTGTTGAAGTAAGAAACTGGTGCCGATTAGGAGGCTAATTGATTTCAGCATGTGTAATTTAAATGCAGCAGCTACCATGTGCAATTGAATGGGCATTTGTTAAATTATTATCAAAGGGTTTTGACGTGTTTTTAAAAAAAACAACATAATCTGAAGTCACTGAATACTAATATATGACCTGGACTTGTTTTCAGTGCGGTTTAACATGTTATACTTTGAATCTGTAGTTTAAAGAATGGGAAACACTTTTGTTTCCCCATTCCGTGAGCAAGTGACAGATTTTATAACCAATGGACTTAAAGGAAAAGCTCTTTGAATGTAAAATATGTTAATTTATGCCATATAATTTGCTGTTACAAAGTTTTGTTGATTTACATTAATAGAAAAATTAACAATTCCTTTGTAAAAGGTTAAGTTAAAACTTACCTTAGCAAATCAAAACCTTGCCATACTTTATAACATCTAGCAATGTCCATACACAACTTTTTGTATTTAACTTACTTTGTTTCTCAGAGCCTTTTATTTATTCTTTTTTCCCTTACAAAGAATTCTTTGTGTTTGTTTCCTTTGAGCATCCACATTGATGTTGGGTAAACATTGTACTTCTTGTTCAATCTGTGGATGAGTTTTTATCAACTCATTTGAGATTTAGTTTGCCTGTGGCATTTTATTTCCACCACACATGAAAATATTTTTTCTCACAAACAATCTGGCAGTATGGCTTCTTACCTGACAGCTTTGGGTTTTTTTAATGCTTAAGTCTGTGTCACTATTTAAAACAAATAAACAATATTCGTAAGCCATTTAGATGCTCATGAAGTGCTTCCTAAACACAGTTCATCTGGGAATTAAAGATTGCATTTTCTGGTAGGCTTTAGTAATTGAAGCCATTATTTTTTTTTATTTGAAGCTAATGTCTTTATAGCTGCTATTCTGTTTTGAACAGCAGCCATCACCTTGCCAGGGTTCTCTAGGTCTTACTGTAGAGCAATGGTCCATCACCTGTGGAGCTGTGTCTTAATGTTTGTGTTATGGTTTGCTTTAGGTTGTAGGTAATGAGGTTGTTCTGCCTACTTTCAGGAAAGAACATTTCCTCTATATATTCCATTCTACGAGTGAGGTTTTTGTGCAACCAGAGAAGGGTAGTTTAATCATAGAATGGTTTGGGCTGGAAGGGACGTTAAAGATCATCTGGTTCCAACCCCCGCAACATGGGCAGGGACACCTCCCACCAGACCAGGTTGCTCCAAGCCCCGTCCAACCTGGCCTTGAACACCTCCAGGGATGGGGCAGCCACAGCTTCCCTGGGCAACCTGTTACAGCTGTTCTTCTACAGCTCTGTCCACTGTGGATCCTTCAGTGAGAAATAATGATATATGAGCAGTAGACTAGGTTTCTGTAGATTACAAAAAAACACTAGGTTATCCTAGAAAACACTAAAGGTGATTTTTTTACGATGGCGCTACTGCAGCACAGCAGTGACATCACCTCGGGCAGGTAGCACAACTTATATGAGGAGGACAGTAAGAACAGGGCCCTTTCTGCATAGTGCGTCTGATTCTAAAACATGTCCCTCCTAGGGACATCGGTTGATGTTTGGAGAAGCCAAATAACTTCAGTTTGTTGTTCTTTTCTTACTTTTGTGAAGATAAATTCAACAGTAATAACACCAACAAACGGCAGAAGCTTGCTCAAGACTTTCTCAACTCCATTGACCAGACTGGAGAGCTCTTAGCCATGTTTGAAGATGATGAGATTGATGATGTCAAACAAGAGCGGATGGAGGTAATTCTTTTCTTTTACCCAGCTCCAGCAGAGAAAACGGAAATATTTCATACGTCATGCTGGTCTGAGGCCTTTTTCGTACTGCATATTATATCATTGTTGCATGTTTTTTCCTTTTGCCCGGATGGTCTAAAGGAATCCTATTTCCATATTTTTCCTATTCCCTCAAATGTTTGCTGATATCTAAGCACGCAAGCTGAGAAGGAAGATTACAAAAGAGCAGTTATGAATCTTTCTGTCTGCCATGTATTTGTGTTTCCTTCCTGTAGAGAGCAGATTCTATTTATAAATGTTTCACATGCATTTTTCACAATTGTTTTTTTTTTTCTTTTTTGTTTTTCATATTAGAAAATTGTTTCAATAGCATTTGAGGACTCTTTTCATGTAACACAGCTTACAGATAAAATTAAAATATTCTGTGCAAACATGCTTCAGTATATGCTCTTCTCTCCATCCTGCTATTTTTTCGTCTATGTACTTATAAAAAATTATGTATACAGTACAGAATGCAGTACCATATTGCTCTCAAAAAGCTAGCCTGGGATCAAGAAGCAGTATAGCTGTGTTGTCATGGAAGTTAGTGGAATGATGGTTTGGATACCAGTTTTACACAGTTTCTCTGAGGTTTAGCTATATTGGCACAAGATACTACATCGTAGCAAGTTATAGATCTTATATAAGACCATATATATATATATTTAAAAGATCTTATGCATAGATCAAGGACCTTACATGTCTTATCGACCCTGTGTCCTCTGTATCAGAAGAGCATCTTCTTGAATGTTGTTTACTCTGAAGTATTTATAAAATGCAAAGGCTGTGTCTGTACTAACCAACGAACCAGGGCAGGGCCATTTCTCTGGCCCTGAAGGCGGGTGACATGGTCTCACTTGAGTCCCTCTGGCTAAATTTTCTGTAGGTGGATAGGCTTAACCCTGTTTTTTTTGGTAGCCCTGTCCAGAGCAAATATGGAGAACAGTCCGTGGCCTCTGTTCATGCTCAATTCCTCCTCATGTCTTGCGTGGGCAACTGGAAGTCAAAGGCAAAATTTTGCCAGGAGCATGCTCACAGTTCCACACTAGTGTTTGGGCCAATTTCTGTCTTTTTTAGTCAGTAGTACAGTGTATGTGGCTGTTGGAAACTTGCTATTTTTAGAATGCTTTTTATACCCTTTCAGTGGTAGGAGCTTGATATATTGCTTTGATTTTCTTTTCTATGCTGAGGTGGCTGATGCATTCGGTAATATTTGTGTATTTAATATTTGACTATTACGGCCTCATTTCACTTTGGGGATTTCATGGAAAATTCTAAGAAATAACCCGATTTTTATCCTGCCTTAGTTGTAAGTCTCATTTTTTCTTCTTACTGGAGCCTCTTTTCAGAACTAGGATTTTCCCAGTCCTGTGTCCCCTACCTTCTCCCCACTGCAATTACTCAAAATCTAATCAAGAATCCTTTCTCTCTAAGAATTTGGCTAGGAACAAGTCCCATTTCTCCCCAACTGAAAATAAGTGTCATAGAGCAGTTGTTCCCAACCCCTGTTTGTATTTTGGAAACCGATGGTTTCGTTTCTTTTCTTTGCTCTCTTATTTATTTATTGATGCAAAATGTTATGTTTTGCATAAAGGCAGGCAAATCGTTTGAGCTTGTACACACAAAAATACGTAACAGCACTGTTCTGAATGAGTGGGTTACGTGCTTGATTTTACATTGTCTTCTGTCATTCCAGTATCAAATTTTTTCAGTCTAAAAAACTACACAAGTTGCTAGAAGTATGAAGTTCCCTGTCCTAGGCAAGGACAAATCTGACTCTGTTTGTCTGTCACAGAATGTGTTCCTGTAATCAAATATTTATCTTTCATCTGACTGCATGTTTTGTTTTTTCTCACTAGACTATGATTCATGAACTGGGGGATGTGTGTTTGTGTGTGTGTGTGTGTGTTTGTGTGTGTGTGTGTGTATATATATAAAGTAATTCTCTCTATTGCTCTACTTTTTGTGAAGTCTTAATCTTTTTCCATGTTTAAAAAAAAAGACAAAAATCAAGATTTACTTATTTTAGAATAGATCCATGTATTATATACAGGTATGAAGTAAGTACTATGTATTTTCTTTCTTACTAGTTTTTAAAACTAATGACAAAACATGGAAGACTGGTTGACAGACGCTATTCAAAATGTTTGACGTATTTCTGGCTTTGTTTTGTTTGGGATTTTGTTGTCACTTTGAGGTGGGTGTAAAGGAATCAAAGACAGTAGGAAATGCGATCCATTCCTAAAGGAAGAGTTGTTAGTGGATGGGCTAAGCTCGTGTATCACGTTTTCTTTGTGCGGTAGATTGTTTAATCCATGCAAAGTTTTGGAGGAAATCCAATAGACACTTTAAAAATTCTAACAGCGTTCTTTAAGGAATTAGTATACTTAAATCACGGACTGTGATCTAAAGGCAGTGTTGCTTTTAGGTATCAATTACCTCAGAAATGTGTGGTTATCTTGGTTTGGACAACTGTAAGTGATTTCAGTTCCACTTTGCCTTGGGCCAAAATCATGCTAAGTTGTCCAGAGCAGATGATAAACATATATTTCTGATGTCATTATGGGCTAAACAGGATATGATTGTTTAGCAGTATGGTTTCAGTTATGATACAAAAAGCAAATATTGTTTATACTCATTTCTTTTAAAACATTTTGTAAAATTAGAGCTAAGACTTCATGAGATCGCTCGCTGTTCTGTGAGGCCTATTCTGTGTTTGTACCACGGAGGAGTAAGCAAAGCTCCGAGCCACCTTCAGACATCACTAGAGGAGAACAAACCATTCTACACGTTTGACTGAAAAACATGCACTAATGCTGTCGTATTAAAAAGAAAGGACAATCTTCTAGGATTGTATGTGGAATTTATCGATGTATCTTGTGGTTTTAATTTGAAGCAAAGGAACTACCTCTAGAACAGTAATAATCACAATGTGCAAAGGAAAGTTGAATACTCTTAAAATGCAGAAGAAAATTAAGAACAAAATTCACATTGCTGTGTCATAATACGTAATTATAGTATCAACACATTGTGATCATGACTTACTATAAAAACTTCAATAATAGCGAGGAATAGTGGCAGATCGGCCAACTGTATTGGCAGAATCAAAACAAAATAAAAACCGGAATAGCACCCCTGTCTCACTTCGTAACAGTTAGTATTTTGCCCTCCTAAGACAGCAGTAAAACACCAGTGAAACGCCGCTCCTCAGAGTAAGAACACTTAGAGATGGAATAAACTATTCCAGTTCATGAACATGATTGAACTGTGCCTGTGAAGGAGAGCTCTCCGGATCGCAGAAGTTGTCTGCATAACAGGTGACAGTATCTTGGGAATAAAATCTAATGATGATCTCCCTAACACCCTGTTTTTATTGTACAGGGTAGGCTCTGGAGTAACCACAGCTGGCGGTGTGCGGGAATTCAATTTCCCTTCTATTGCCTCTTCTATGACAGAATCCATGAGAAATAACACCTTACAAGTGGTTTGCAATTTTGCTTTCCTCTCTCTTAAAAATCATTTAGAGGGGAAAGTTGGGACTCCTGTGGGATATGGCTGTGGGGAGAGGGTGCATGCTCATTGAAAATCTTGGCATTTTTCCTTATTTTGCATGTTGGGTAGAGATGCAGGTTTGCGTCCTTACGTTGCTACTCTGAACCTCTCAGGTGACCCATTCAACAGTGAAACCAGCTGCAGGTTCCGCTGTGATTTTGTGAATGGTAACGGGAGTTCTGCTAAATTTTCATATCAGAACCACTGTCAAATTTACCATGTCTTGTTATTAAAATCAGCTATAGCTACGCTAATACTTTTGTCAGCATCATTGCAAAGAGGACTCCTGTCTCATTCTGTAAATATACTTTTTTTTATAATTTGTTTTATAGTTCCACCTCCCCCACCAGGAAAAAGTCTTCCCGTCAGAAACCTGAATTGACATACAAAGGAATGTGTAGAGCATCACGCTGTGAATGCTCTGTTTCACTTTTGTTCCCCCAGGATTAAGAGAAACACCATACATCTGTCACTCTGACTGCTGATTTAGGAATATATTTCCAACACTCAGATGATATGTGGCAATAACTCAGTTGCAGTAGCTGCCGTAATGCTTTCATAGTACATTGCAAGTTTGAATAAACAGCAGAGAGAAATTAACTTCCCTAGAAGAATACATTACCTTAAAAACAGGTCCGGTGCCAGAAAAATGGTAAAACGAAGTTACATGGCTACAGAAAGGGATTGGCAGAAGCTTGTGGTTCTTTACGGCGTACTGCCCTATGAATTACGTTAGGTATTTAAAAACGGCAGATACATATTATTGTTCTGGGAAGTTTATTGTGGATGTGATTTTTCCCATGCTGTTCATTAGGAGGCTTCTGTACAAAGCTCACAGAAATGCAGTGGGCCCTGTGCAAAACATGGTAAATTGCAATAAAGTGTGTTGGGAATACACCCTTTGTTCACATGAGGTTAAATCACTCCCATTTAATTTTTGTCTGTGTTCAGACACAATTAATTTGTGTCTGTCAAACACACCTAAACACACCTAGATGCACCTTGAGATACAAGGAGCCATATTCTTATATTTCAACAGAAGAAGGACGTGGACCTGTTGGAGCAGGTCCAGAGGAGGCCAAGAACATGATCAGAGGGCTGGAGCACCTCTCCGATGAGGAGAGGCTGAGAGAGTTGGGGTGGTTCAGTTGAGGAGAAGAGAAAGATCTGGAGAGACTTCATGGCAGCCTTCCAGTATCTGAAGGGCACCTACAAGAAAGCTGGAGAGGGACATTTTAAAGGGCATGTAGTGGTAGGAAAAGGGGGAATGGCTTCAAACTGGAAGATGGTAGATTTAGGTATTAGGAAGAAACTTTTCACTGTGAGGGTGGTGAGGCACTGGAACAGGTTGCCCAGAGAAGCTGTGGATGCCCCATCCCTGGAAGGTGTTCAAGGCCAGGCTGGATGGAGCTTTG